GGACGCTGAGCATCATGGGAGCGGAGAAAACCTCCTCCCAGCCCACGCGAGCGTCTTCCCAAACAGCGCTCCTGCCAAGGCGTTCTGGCCGCCTGCACTGGAACGACGCTCCCGCTTGCGCTGGGAAGAGGCAGTTCTGGCAGGAAACGAGCCCATGGGGCAGGTCCAACCCCCAACCCCCAGAGAGAGGCAGGGCTGGAAACAGGCGCTGCTCCCCGCACCCAGCAGGGCACTGCCCCCTCCACCAAGCCCCTGTGTCACCAGCGATCCCCGGCACTGCCCACGCCCCACCCTGCCCGCAGCCAGCCTCTGGCTCAGTCCGTTCATTTCACAAACGCCCATCTGCCAGGAGTGTGAGTGCTTCCTATAGAACTCCACACAGTCTGGTAGGTCAGGACTATGGTGCACCCATTTGACAGATGAGGCCACAGAGGCACGGATTAAAGCATTTGACTGAGGCCACTTCACCTGACCAGGACACCCAGAGCTCCTCCAGCATGTAGTGCTTGCCTGGATGGCCTGTCACTATTTTCTCCAGAGCCCAGGGGCAGTGTGCCGAGCCGACAACTGTCTTCCGGTAGGATGGAGTTAGCAGGAGGCACCAGAACCTTCCACCCCAGCCTTCTGGAGCAAGCCTTCCTTTCACCCTTGTGCCTAGGCTGTGCTCCAGCTCCCAGGCCACACACTCCAAGTGCCAGGCTGTGCACGCAGAGCGCCATGCACGTTCCAGAAAGTCTCACAGTTCTCCCGCCCTGCTCCGTTCCAGGGCTGTGCCAGGCAGGACGGGGTCTGCGTGCCCGGAAGCCAGGGTCTTCTGACCACACATGTGAGCCGGGGGTGGGCAGCAGCAGACTTGTACAGAGCACATGAGGGGGCAGTCCTTGCATTGACTTCATGCATAATCCGTACCAGTTTGCTTGAACACGCCCACCCGTTCCCATGGTGCTAGTGGGCAGTTGCAGGACCTTGGGACATCAGGCGTGGGGAGGAAAACAGGGCCGGTGACATTTTCCTGTGTCATACAGGCCACGCATGCTCCAGGCACTCTGGAAAGACAGCAGGAGGGGTCGGCAGGCAGCGCACACACCCAGGAGAGGCAGGTCACGGTGTGACCTGGGCAACTGCCACCTCCGCCCTCCCTTGAGAATTTTTTCTCTTACTCCTCCTTGGGAGCCCACACCAGAAGGCGGACTTCGGCCGGTCCTGCAGGTTTGGCACCAGATGCCAGGCAGGATGTTTGCCGTTTCTTTGTTTTCTCTCACATGCCCATGTCCGGACACCCACGGTACCCAGCTCCACCCCACTGATGTCCCTGCTCTGCCCACAGTCCAGGGAATCAGCCCCGCCCAGAGGCTGTGGGCAGAGGGGAAGGCAGGGCTGTGTCACCGATTCCTGGCAGGAGCGCCCATGGCTGGACAGTGGCCAGGCTGCCCCTGCTCCAGGCAGAACAGGTTCCATACGATTTTCTTTCCGCTGGGCTGGAAGGAGGGGCAGGAGCCGCCTCCACACGGATTCTTGTGTTCCTGGGCTGTCAGAACAGCATACCACCAGCGGCCTGACTTGAAAGTCCCACATTTATTGTCTTGCCTTTCTGGAAGTCAGGAGTCCAGCAGCAGGGCTGGCCGGGCTGCTTCCTTCAGAGGAGGTGCAGGGTGAGTCAGGAGGCCACCCAGAGTCTAGCGGTCACTGGCGACCTTGCGTGCTCCCTGGCTTGTAGAAGGATCGCCCAGGTTCTGGCTCCACCTTCCTGTGGCTTAGCTACCGTGTGCCCGTCTTTAACCATAAGGACAGCAGTGGACTCACTGCACCCCAGGATGACCCCATCCTAACCAGTGACATCTACAACAACCCGCTTTCCAAATAAGTCATGTTCTCAGGTCCTGGGGGTCAGGGCTTCAATGCATGAACTTAAGGGGACACACAGTTCAGCTATAGTAGTTCTTTATTTTGGGGGTACCAGGGGTCAAACATGCAGAAACCACGCTAGGCAAGGGCTCTACCTCTGAGCCACACCCCAACCCTAGTCCCTAGCGATTCTTAACCAACAAGAGGGCCAGATGTGACTGAAATGTTTGCTCCCCACTTGCTTACCTCATTCGTGGACTGAGGGACAAGGGCTTCTTTTTCTCCTTTAACAGAGTAGGAAGCTTTTCCTCTGTGTTAAGAAGCAGGAAGCTTAATTTCTAAATAAAGAAGGACTCCCCCATGGTCGCTGCTGGCTGGGAATGGAGCATATAGATTTTCACTGTCCTTTAATTGAGAACAATGGCTCTTGTCACAGCTGATTAACTCTACCTCCTTCCCAGGAGAAAGTAAAACGAGGCATGGTGCAGGGGGTGCTCCTCAGGCCTTCAGGGGAGGCTGGCCGGGTGCTTCTCTCTGCAGCCCATGTGCAAAACTAACAAAATGGGACGACCTTTGGTAGAATAGGAGTGGACACTGGAAAATCTCAGTGGCGGACAGCCCTGAGCCTCTGTGCCAGCCCTTACAAACCACTGTGGGCACCTCTGAGTGCACCCAGGCTTTGCACATTTTATCGTTTAGATCTGAAATGTCCCCTGAATGACTCATGTGTTTGGGAGGTGATCAGATCAGGGGGCACCCACTCATCACGGGATTCATTCACTAGTGAGGTCACCGCTGAGTCTGCCGTTAGGAGGCAGGGCTGGTGGGAGCTGGGGCACTGGGAACATGACCTGGAAGGCTGTAGCCCTGTCCCCAGCTCCTCTTTGCTTCCTGGCTGCCGTGATGTGAGCAGCTGTCCTCTACCCAGGCCCTTCCACCATGCTGTTCTGCCTTGGAGCAGCCAACCATGGACTGAACCCCCTGGAAACTGTGAGTCAAACACACCTCTCTTCCGTAAGTCATGAGTGTTGGGCACTGTGCCCCAGGCGTGGGGAGTGGGTAATGACACCCTGTGTCTAAGATCACTCTAGTTGGTGCTTCTAGGAATCAGCCTCCAGTGTGGAGAGCTCTACAGGGTGCCTTCCTCAGGGGCAGAAGCTGGACCAGCCCCAAAGGTACATCCACTCACCCCTGCACTTCCTCTGGGGATGCTTATCCAGCCATCCACCTTCTTCCTTCATCCACAGCCCTAGCTGCAGACTCCTATGCTCTGGATGCAGCCATAGCTGTGTACATCTGGCCACAAACACAGCCACCTGAGGATGGAGGGAAAGATGCGGCTCCTCCTGAAGGGGTCAGGGCTCTGCAGAGTGGGAGCCCTCCTGGCACTCACCAGTGTGACTGACCAGGCTTTGACTCAGTCCAGATGGGTTGCAGGGCTTAGAAGTAAGTAATGGTGTCAATGAAAATTATTCGTCAAATAGTAAGACTGACATCATCTGCCACGACCCAGCCCCAGAACTGGGGGACACCTTCTGTGCACCTGGAAGAGGGGAGAGCAGTGGACAGATGTCTGAAGAACTGCTGGGGGCTGGCGCCAAGATCAGGCCGAGCCTCCCCCACCCCACACTCAGGCTCCACACACCAGCTTTCTCCTCCTGTGTGTGCCCAGGCCCTTGAGAGAAAATCCAGGCAGACATCTGATTAAAAACACAAGGGCCCATGTTGTCTTCTTTCCATAGAACCACCCTGCTGGCCCAGCCTCTGACAGTGCTGATTTTCAGCCTAAAAGTAGGAGCTTGCCCCAAGCTTTCTTTGTGCACAGGGACATGGGGAGTGGACAGTGGCCAGGCTGCCCCTGTCCACTGATTAAAAACACATCTGATTAAAAACACAAGGGCCCAGGTCAACTCCCCATGTCCCTGGGACTGGCCATGTCGGCCTGGACAATCTTTAAATGATTTGAGTCAAGCGCAAGCAGCTTTGATTCCTCTGGCCTTGCGTGAATGTGGTGGGAAGATGGGGCTTCGGGCATGGGCCCGTGCTGCCAGCACCTCAGCGCTCCAGATTATTATACCTTCCCTCCTGCTGCCCAGATCCACAGGAAAGGAAACTGAGGCCCAGCGAGGCTACGCAGCTCCACCCTCCACCCACAGAGGAGAAGGCCAGATGGTCCACTTGTGGATGGAAGAAGAGGGAGTGTCTGCAAGTGTCACCAGCCATAGACGGCGGAGATGACACAAATGCTGCTCCAGGGCTCTCCCTGCAGCCTGGGCTCACTGGGGCTCCATGCTGGTTCTCTAAGCCTCCTGAGGACAAGGCCGCACAGAGGGCTTCCACCCTCCTCTGGGCACACATGCAGACAGACTCCGTGGTCTCTACGTGGACAAGGTGTCCTCGCCATGGTCCAGTCCAACAGCTCATCTCACTCAGACAGCTCCTCCCCACTGCCTCATGCGGGCAGACCCTGACACCGCCTTCTGTCCACAGCAGGCTGAATCGTGGGGTGACAGGAGTGCTGCCCTTCATCCTGCAGGGAAGTGGTCCTCTTCCCAGGCTTGGAGAGTCCCTGTCCTGCCGCCCGCAGGGCCACGCCTGGGTCATAGAGCCATGGAGCCTGTGTGCCACTGTATCGACTTCCCTGGAGCGAATGGAGAGGGGTGTGGGACAGATCAGCCAAAACCGGGTGCTGGGGCGGGACCTCGAACTCCAGGGTGTGTGACAAACAGCGGGAAGTGGCTGCACTGGCAGGAGAGACATGTGAGTCTTTGTTTTTTCCATCTCTATTCAGAAACTATCGTCTTAGGAAATAAATTGAACCCTACTGCAGAAAAAAAAAATCAGGAACTCTAAAATCAATCAGCAGGCCTCCACCACCAACTTGTTATCTATGACTCCAAACATTATTTAGCCTATGCCAGCCTCAGTTTCCCCAATCTGTACACTGAGATAATAAATCCCACTCCTCCTGACCTTGAGTGTTTGTGGAGACGATCCAATTATACTGGGAATGGAATGTTGTTTTTTTTTTAAGGCATAAGTCACTGTAAAAATACAGGAAATTTATTCTTGCCCGGTGGTTAAGGAGATAATTAGAGTAAGTGGTGTTATTATTCTCACATTCTACTCCCCGGCTCTGTGATAGTAAAGATGCAGCAGAGACGGCATAAGCCCTTTAAAAGCTTTACTGTATATCGATCAGCCAAAAAATAATTTTAAAAATATGTGATGCTTGAGAAGGCACAGTGTTTATTAAAGCCCAATAAATGCACCTTATAAAGGTAATCCAGCTCCTGCCGCTGTCATTTGCAGGGGGCTGACGCGAGGGATAGAGGGCAGCGTGAAGCCAGGGGCTGTCTGCGGACTCTGGGAAGCAGCTCGTGCGTTAGCTTGGCTGATGTTATTACTGGCAAAGACCAGAAAGCAGCAGCTGGCCGCCGGGGTCCGCAGAGGGAGGCAGACGGCACCACGGGCGGAGGGCATCATGGCGGGGGGAGGAAGAGGAGAGGGTGGGGGGACAGTGGCAGGGAACAGAAGGGGACAGGCAGGAGAGGACAAGGACAGCACACAGAAATGTCCGTGCTCGGTGTGGGAGAGGTCTCAACAGGACCCTTGCTGTCCCGACCAGATGGACACCCTTGCCTGTCTGTAGAGGACTGAGCTCACAGTCTCTGGCGGGAGGGACGGGAGCCCCGGGGCAGCTAGCTGGCACAGTCAGGACGCAGAGCGCACTGCAGAGACACCTGTTCTACCTCAGGGTGCACGGCCAGCCGCACTCCTGAGACAGGTGCGCACCGCCTCACTTCTGATCTCGGGACAGCGGCGGCCCAGCACGTCATTGTCCCCGGCACTGTTTCCAGCCGATCCAGCTCCACTGGGTGAATGCAATCGCCGTGTTCTCTTACAGCCTGGCACCCACCCAGGCTCTCGGGGGCCAGCGCACCCTGCCAGGGGAGGAGAGCAAGGCAGGTGACACCAGAGAGGGTTGCAGGCCCGACAACAGCCCCCACAGACTCCGGAGGTGATGACTTCGGGACACGCCCCCCCCCCATGGGGCCTGACAGGTTGCTGGGGCTCCCCGGGGGTTTTAACTCCCGAAAACCCTCTTACTCTGCTCACGCCGAGTGGGGAGGACCAAAAGGTCCGTGGGTTGTTAATATAACAGGAAGTATAAAAAGCCTGTGCCTTCTCCAGGTGGCTCTGAGCCAGGAATTCAAGGCAGCCAAAGAGGCCAGGGGCAGCCCGGCAGGGTGCGTGGTGAACATCGCACAAGCCCGAGGCCCTGGTTCCCGTGGACCCTGCCAGGCACGCCCCCACAGGGGTGTCCAGTTCCCGCTGGTTCCACTTGGGCTGGGCTGCTGGAAACAGTGCCGGGGACAGGCGCTGCTCCAGGCGAGGGCCATGTGGGGCATGGAGTTGTCCCTGGGGACACCTGTGAGTGAAGAGTGCCCCTCTGGACTCTGGGAGGAGGGGCAAGGCCATCAGGAGGGAATGTGGGGCGTGGCTTCCGCTCTGTCCGCAGGGTCCACATTCCTCCCCACCTGCTTCTGGGGACGCGTTTGCTGGTCCGGAAATGCCCTTTCTCCGTTGTTCCCTGGAAACAAAGAACAGAAACACAAGAAAAACCCTTTCATTACCTGGTACAGTGTTACGCGCAGACACAGCAGAGGGAGATAAAAGCCCCGGCTTGTGGGGCGAACAATGAGGGATTCATGGGCCCCGTGAAAGAAACGCACACAGGCGACAAGCCAGCACACATCTTCTCTTTTTCTTTCAAATATTGTAGCCAGGAAAGAAAAATCAACCCGAGTCTTCACTTACTCAACAAGCTCTGATATCTGTGTCCATGTTCGGATAGAGAAACTTTGTGAATTATGTAACCCTGCCCACACCAGCCAGGGGCATGCAGAAAGTGAATGTTTGCCACACGCGGGAGGTGCAGACCTTCTGAGACGGGGCCTGCTCAAACCGGCGCAAGGTCACAGAAAGCTCCCTGCAGCTGCCCTCCGACCCCCGCAGCAGGGCGGCAGACGAGACTCGGAGAGTCGCTTCAGCTGCGGACTCCAGGACCACAGGGCAAGGGAGCGCTGGGAGTCCACGAGCTGAGCCTCCCACACTCCGTGAAAAGCAGGGCATGTGTGTGCAGGGGCAGTGTGGTCCAAGGCAGGTAACTTCTTGCCTCTCTAGGGCAGATGGTCTTGGATAGCCAGTGCTCATCTTCCTGTGCACAAGGCATTTCACGGCCCGCAGTAGCAGCCAGGACTGCTGCAGTGGGGGAAGGGAAGGTGGCAGAGGCCAGTGTGGGCGATGTGACTGTCCCCTCCCCTTCCGCATGCTGCAAGTGCTGCTTCTTGGGAGGTTAGTGTCCCCAGAGAGGCTGCAGCTCCCTGAAGGAAGGTGACCCCACTATTCCAGATGTGGCCCACGTGCTCAAGGTGTGGGCAGGCCAGGGAGGCTCCCTGGAGGAGTTGCTTAGCTGACCCGCATTCTCTGTACTCCAGAGTCACAAGGACTTCCTGAGCACATGGCCGGGCTACGCCGCCAGCCAGTCGCGCTCCAGTTCTTCATCTATAAGCAGGGTGACAAAGCCACCTCTGTAATGTGGTGAGGGTCCAGCAGACTGACACCTTGTGGGAGCTGGGCACCGCGGGGCACACACACCATCAGCTTTTAGGACCGTCTGAGGCATCTGAAGGCCATATCCCACCATGGGGAACAGCGTGGGTCTGATGTGAGAGGACTCCAAGCGTGAACCCAAGGGTCTCACACGTGCATAACACAGTTCCTGCGTGGACCGAGGGGCAAAACCACAGGTGCTCAGTTTCCCCCTCCTGCAATCAGAAAAGTCTCCACCTTGAGCACAGGATGGATTCCAGATGCAGGGTCGCTGTGGGTGGAGGGAGTTTTACTCTCTCCAGGAAGCACGAGGAGGAAGCAGAAGACAGGGGAGTGTTAGAAACCTGCCAGACTGAAGGGAACCCCGCCCCGTCATGTTGTGTTGGGGAAACTGAGTCAGTGCCCAATGGCTCCTCTTGTAGCTGATGCCTGGGGACACCAGCCACAAGCAGGTAGCCATAGTCTGTGCCCCCATATTTCCCAGCCAGTTATTGTTTAGGTCTAAAAGGCCCCAAATACAGTTTCATGTATTTGGACGGTGATTGGACCATGGGGCTCTGCACCCATCAGTGCATCTATCTATGAATGAGTTCACGGCTGAAGGTGCCGTAGGAGGTGAGACCTGGTGGGAGGTGGTCACTGGGGTGTGACCTGGAGGTTGGGTTCTTGTCCCCAGATCTCCCTTCTCTATTTTCTGGCTGCTATGCACAGAGCAGCTCTCCTCTGCCATGATGTTCTGCTATCTTTCCTATGGAACTGGCTGACCATGAACTGAACCACAGGTTAGATAAGCCTGTCCTCCTTCAAGGCGTGGGTGTCAGGTATGGTGTCCCAACAATGGGAAGGTGACTAAGTCCCAGCTCCAATGGCCACCCCCTGTGGACTTCTCATCCATCCAATGGCATGGGACACACTCGTCAGCATTCAGCAGGAAAGCAGGGGTGGGGCTTGGGATGTGAAGAAGCTGGCATGGACGAGGCCATCCACATGCCTCGGGATACCCATGTGACAACCCGTGCCTGTCCCACAGACACTGGGTTTGGGACTGCAGGAAAAACTGGTGAGCAACAGCAGGGCTGGTGAGGGAACTGATACCATGAGGCCTGTGGCTAGCATGCGTTCCCTGGGATTGGTCTGTGGTGGGGCATGTATTGCATGTGCTGTGCTGTGTATGTGCAATATGTGTGTGCTCAGTCTTGTGTGTCCATTGGTGTATGTGTGTGGTAGGTAATTGTCTGAGTCACTCTGGAGCCCTCAGTGACACCATCCTCCCTGCTCTGCACCATTACCATTTTAAGGTTGCAAAATATGAATGCAGCTACATCTCCAACTCAGACATTGAGACCACCCAGTCTTCCCCTCGCCTACAGATGACAAATAACAGAGCTCTCGTCACTGAAATGTGCTCAGGATTTTGTAGTTTGCACACCATTCTCTGACACAAAATCTTCACCCACCAGTTACCTACTCAGCCTCTTAGTGTGCAGGCCGGTGATGACCCTTTTATACCTGAGTTTCCTCTTCTGTTAAAATGGGGTTGATAAGAGAATCAACTGACATAATAAAGGGATCACATTTGCACCGAGGGCTCAGCCAGTGTCAGCCAACACCTTTAAGTGCCCCGCAAGCATTAGTCAGCATCCATCCTCCATGAGACATGATTCATAGCAACCATCACAGGGTTTTGAACAGAGAGACAGCACTGTGTCACAGCTTAACAGCGTCACTGTGGCAGCTGGAAAGAGAATAGGCCACAAGGACAAGGGGGGCAGGAGGCCAGCCAGAGCCTGAGAGCTCAGCAGTAGCCCAGACCAGTGAGAGACGAGGGTGGGTCACCGCCGGTGGCAATGACGTATAAGAAGTAATTAGTCAATTTCTGGTAAATTCTGAAAGTGCTTCCAGCATGATTCCTGACAATTGAATGTGGGGTATAACAGAAAGGAAAGTCAAAGTTGTGTCCAAAGTGTTGGGTGCGAACACCCAGGAGGATGGACAGGTGAGGAAGACCTCAGGGAGAGGAGCTCTGTGGGCCAAGAGGGATAAGAAATCAGAACTTCCACTGTGATCCTGTAGAATGTGAGGTACATGGTAGAAATCCCAGTAGATTATGAAAGAGTGTTGGGTGTTGAGAAATCTAAGCTGGTACTAAGATTTCATACCAGGATTCTAGGTGAGGTCTCTGGAGGATGATCATGACTGGGTTCTTGTTATGGTCTCAGTATGAAGTGTCTCCCAAAGGCTTGTGAATTGAGGGTGTTAACCTCATCAACAGATCAATCAACTGATGAGTTCTAAGCCGAACAGGCTTCTTAGGAGGTGAGCCCCAGTTGGAGGAAGTGGGTCACTGAAGGGATGACTTGGAAGGATATATCCTGTCCCCAGCCACTTACTGTCTCTCTCCCTGGGTCCCTTGTTCACAGTCTGCTCCTTGACCCCCATGAGGTGGCAGCTACCTCTGCTCTGCCTGTCCACTATTGTTGTAGTCAGGGTTTACAAGGAAAACAGTTAAAGACAGGAAACATAATTTATAGGATTGTTTTATAATAGTCACCCAAAGAGTCAAATACAAAGAGTGCAGGAAATCTGTCCACACACGAAACCCAAGAATCCAGCTGAGGGACTGGATCCCATGCTAATGTCCTTCAGGAGTCCAGCTGAAGACCTAGAGCCCATAACAATGCCTCTCACGAGTCCAATCAAAAGCTAAGAGCCCATAACAATGCCTCATGCAGGCCTGTTTCATGGATCTGTGCTGGGAAGGCCCAAAGGTCAATGGTGAAGCTAGAAAGTCTGTGCCGGCTGGATGAAGGATCTGTGCTAGCAGGCTGAGGGATCTAAACTGGAGCCAGGAAGTAATCCTCAAAGTAAGAATCAGAACTCCCCTGAAAAGTACCACCGCCATCTTCAGTGACAGTGAGGTCCCGGGCTCCTCTGATGATGAAGAAAGCCGAGTTACCATCAGGAAAGCCAAAGCAACAAGCTTCTCCAGGAGACTGAGCAGTGCACACTCTTCCCCTCTGGAGCCTGGAAGGGTTCCTCAAAGTAAGAACCAGAGCTCTCCTAAAGTGAACCACAGACATTCTCAGGGATAACAAGGCCCCAAGCTCCTCTGATGATGAGAACAGCCAAGTTTGTATCAGGAAAGCCAGCATGACAAGCTCCTCCAAGAGAACCAACAGCACTAGGAAAACCAACAGCCCCCTAACAGCACTTCCTTTTCTCCTTCTCCTTCTCCTTCTCCTTCTCCTTCTCCTTCTCCTTCTCCTTCTCCTCCTCCTCCTTCTCCTCCTCCTTCTCTTTGTTCTTTCCCTTCTCCTTCTTCTTTCTTCTTCCTTCTCTCTCTCCCCCTTCCTCTTCCTCTTTCTCTCCTTCTCCTTCCTCTTCCTCTTCCTCTTCCTCTTCTTCTTCTTCTTCTTCTTCTTCTTCTTCTTCTTCTTCTTCTTCTTCTTCTTCTTCTTCTTCTTCTTCTTCTTCTTCTTTTTCTTCTTTCTTCTTCTTCTTCTTCTTCTTCTTCTTCTTCTTCTTCTTCTTCTTCTTCTTCTTCTTCTTTTTCTTCTTCTTCTTCTTCTTCTTCAGTTCTCCTTTTTTTTTGTTGGCAACAATGTTCAGATGGGCCTCCAACACCCGGCACCATGCTGGTTCAGTTCAGCTGGGTGTTACAAGTTGACCACCAGTTGTCAATCCAGCACAGGTAGATGTTTCTGCCTTGGAGCAAACTGACCATGGACTGAAACCCTGAACCAAAATAAATCCTTTCTCTTCTTAGTTGTGTATGTCAGATATCTTGTCCCAGTGATGAAAGATAAATAGAGAAAATTGGTACCAGAGAAGTAGGGTCATGGCTGTGATAATACCTGACCATTTGGTTCATAAACTTTTGTAATTGGTTTATAGGAGGCATTTGGAA